ATTTCGTATAACAATATTACACAAATAGATTAATATATTTTGGTCCGCTTTATTCCATGACTATTTGGAGTTATTTACAAAATGCACGATACAAAAATGGGGAAGGAAGATTGAGATTACAAAATTAATGAATAAAAAATTAAGTACAAGTACAAAAGTCAGTCAAACGTTGAAGGTAAAAAATTAATTGTGCGCTGCTCTCTTACCATTCATGTAACCTATCCATCTTTCTGCTGTAGTAGTAAATATAGAATCATTATCAATTGAGTTCAGGAGGAGAAGCTGATTGATATGAGTAGAATGATAATCCCACCTAGCTAAATTTGGAGCTGTCTTTAATGTAAAATGTCGTAAATCATATGTAGTACCAGAGCCTGTATCGTACAAGGTTAATATATTTTTTAGCGAAATCATACCCTGACTAAAAAGGCGAGATGCTTCTTCCGCATCCTTGCCTGTCACTATACTCTTTAAGTCGTACAAACCAATAAGAGAATAAATAAACCCGTTTAATACAAAAGAAGAAGGTGTGGTAGGATATTCTTCATACCATACATATTTATCTAAAAATACAGCAGCTACTCCTCCTTTGTTAGAGGATAATCTAAAAGGTTGTAAACCTCTAATAGCAGCTTGTAGATATTTTTCTTCATTGGAATGATAATATGCTCGTGCTAATACGGAAATAGCATGTCCTTGACCCATACTTGAGTACCTGTTATAAAATATTTTGTCATTTATATAAAAAATTGCATTAATCGTATGCAACTTAAATTATTAAAATAAAGTACCATCCAGGTTCAAGAGTAGCCATTCCAGGCGCTACTTTTCTTCTAACAGGATTCGACCATCCACCAGAACTAATATTCTGGTTAGCTACAAACCACCTTGCCGCATCATAAAATTGTTCCATATGTTCACTTGTGGACAATGTTATATTATCAATCATTCCAGCTCCATACAAAGTTATTTTGATCATCTGTAATGACAGCGTTGTTTTTATTAAACTCTAGTTATTCTAAAACCAAATGCTTAAATTAAAAATACTTTGTAATATTCTATGTATATCGATGTATTACCTTTAATTTTGAACGAGACAATTTTTTCTTATTTTTGTCATTTAAGTATAAACCTTTTTGTAGATCAATTACTAAATCTCTGGTATATCGTCTCCACTGATGGCTAATTTGACCAATTCCATAGTATACATGGTTATTGTAAGTCTGAAGTACTGTATTGCTAGTAATATAATGGAGATAATATATTTCCTTTCTTTCTCTAGATTGTAATGTAACCATGATACTACCATTTTCTTTAATATTAAAATCCCATTTTAATACGAAGTCCAAAACATGATCTAATTTCAGAGTAATTCCAGAAGTGCTAGTTTCTGGTGTAGCAAATTTCATCACATGACTATTAGCATGCTTATCAAATACCCTAGATAAAATGGATCCCTGAGGTATAGTCCATTCCCGTTTAGTTTTATCTGAATCTTCGATAATCTTTCTACGTGGTTCTGGTTCTGTTAAATTTTTGCTATAATGAGATAATCCAAACTGAGCAATTTGCGTTGGATAATAATATCCTTGGCTTTCCCATTGAGTTGATATTGGTACACCATCATTTCCACTGATGCATTTAACACGTTCTCTTACTTCAACATTATAATTTTCAAAGGTCATAAATACTCCTCTTGGATCGTATTTTCCCTTAGGATTAACAATTTTTGAATAACTGTGCAACCATTCAAACCTTTCTAAACCATCATAGGTTGCCAACTTCCCATAAATCTGATGAATATTAGAAAAATAATTAAATAATATAAATAATATTAATAATTTTTAACCATAATATTTACCTCAAAATACTTGTGAATAAATGAAAATGGTATATATACTTCATCTCCTTCTTTACGACATCCAATTGAATAATCGCCATTAATGTGACAATCTATTTCTTGATACCCACTTTCTACAGTTTGTCGATCCTTTATGAAAATTGATTATGTTTCAATTAGTCTATAGATATTCAATTGAAATAATATAATGTAAATTTTGAAAATTAAACTTAAAACATATTTTATATACCTCAAAACAAATTGCAAACTTATATGCAAGATTTAAATTGTGGTATTTACTTACTCTATGTTGAAATTTTGTCTTCCATTCAGTACTTTTAAAAAAGAATGGATTC